TATATTGATCAGTGTTATGCATATTTACAGACAGTACAGTATGTACGTTATACTTATCAGTATTATACATGTTTAAGGACGGTACTATAACATGTTATATTGATCAGTGTTATACATATTTACAGAAGTACAGTATGTACGTTATACTTATCAGTATAATACATGTTTAAGGACAGTACTATACATGTTATATTGATCAGTGTTATGCATATTTACAGACAGTACAGTATGTACGTTATACTTATCAGTATTATACATGTTTAAAGATGGTACTATACATGTTATATTGATCAGTGTTATGCATATTTACAGACAGTACAGTATGTACGTTATACTTATCAGTATTATACATGTTTAAGGACAGTACTATCCATGTTATATTGATCAGTGCTATACATGTTTACAGACAGTATAGCATGCACGTTATACTTATCAGTATTATACAGACGGTTCTATAAATGTTATATTGATCAGTGGTATATGGGTTTAAGAACTATAGCGTAACTTTTATATTCTTTACTATCGTCAAAGGTTTGAATCAGAGAAAACGAAACCATTGCAACATAAATGCTTATGTTGGAATGAAAGTATTTCCTAAGCTTAAAGATCAATTTTCTACAAATTGTAATGATTATTGAGCGAAAAGATTCGAAATAGCATGTTTTTATAACAGCGTTAAAAATATATGTTTCGTAAACGTGCACACGTTTTAAACAGAAATAATTTTATGAATTCCCAAGAGCAGTAATGGCTAGGTGTTTTATAAAAAACGTCAAAAGTGGGTACTCTATCCATCATACATAGTGACTATCGATAAGAACCCGAACATTGAACTACACCTAAGCCTTAATCAGGTGTAATTCCCGTAAATTCGTGCCACAGTTAATGCCCACCGTCGCGGTCCAATCAGCTCGGTTTCCGATAAACTTGTGTAATTCCTGTATTTTTGCATACAAGAGTATAAAAATATACCCTGTAAGTGTATATTACATCGTACATCAGTGACGGTAATTGACTTCTATCAAACCATTTGATTAATATCTAGAATACCGGCAGTAATTGTTGATTGTTAAACCAATTAGAGGTTGTCTCGTGCACTACTTCTGGCACATGGTCGTAACTAAAGATTGGACGGGTGCCATAGGTGGTCACAGCCTCGGTAACAGATGGTGCACACTTTTCACCTGCCTTGCGACTAATAAACGAAAAGCTAACCCTATTCGTAACTCGGGTTTATAACAATTCAACCGCATCCTTCATTCAAGAACACTATTGAAATTTTTGAGGTCACGTGACCTATGATAACTGCTTAGCAGATCCTCTGGCCATGATTATATTCTGAAATGTAAGTAATTGAAACATCTAGCGGCACGCAAACACAGGTAATGGAAGAGAAAACTCATATAACAGTCTTGTAATGTAGGTTATAGCTTTTATATGAGTCACATAAGTATTCTGACTTATAACAGGTGAACAAATAGTGTTTCAAGATTTACTTTAACCTATATTCAAGGTGATCCGTTTCTTGTCTTTATAAATAACTTATTTTTTATGCAGTAAATTACAATAATAAATTTATAATTCGAGAAATAACTATTTAAGTTCGTCTTTTTCATATCGGCAATGACTGTTATTTCCCAAGTTTATCAATATAAGTCCTTACTTACTACAGCGTGAGGCAGATCTTTCTACGTAAAATATATCCATATCAACTTATTGGTATATATATATATGATTTCATAAGTAAAACTTCAACTGCAATGAGTTTATTTTCAGAATATTAGATTAAAAAATAAATCTTAAATACTGATGTATTTGTACAGGAAGACCTATTGATTCATGGTGATAGCGTGTATGACATCATCGAAAAGCAGGATCACCAGAGCATCCAAACAGAGCTTATGAGAAATCCTAACCCTCTCAGTTTGATTCCTGATACTCGCATGTTTCTTTGTCGTATGAACGTCTCCAGAAATGCTCGTAGACAGATGAGATTTGGAGACCAAAAGGTCAGTAAAAGTTTTGGAATAAAGTAAGAGTTATATACAGATTAAAGATCAATGAAAATTTATGTTTATTGATTAAATGTTTACTTTATTTAGTCATTTCTATTGTCAAGCAGAAAATGTTATCAGCATCTGATGAAATATTTTAGCTAAAAACTGAATTAGAAATTTATACTCTTTTTCGCGTGTTTATTCCTACATCTGCCTCTTAAATCGCCTTTTTAGCCGTGGGGGCGTTATAATGTGATGGTCCCACTATTCGTTGATAAAAGAGTAGCCCAAGAGTTGGCTGCCTTTCCTCTAGTCTTACACTGCTAAATTAGGGACGGCTAGCGCAGATAGCCCTCGTGTAGCTTTGGGCGAAATTCAAGAAACAAACAAAAAAGCCTCTTAAATAAACAAATCTGAAAAACTATAAAGTCAGGATGCTATTGAGCAAATCAACGAAGAGTAATAAGCAGTTTTTCAGTAGGAGTACGTTTTAATCTTTTGTTAGAAAATGGGTCGAAGCAATGTTAAGAAAAGAATAAAACATACTGCAAAGTGATCGAGTTTTACTCACGTATATCTTGCAGAAGCGATATTTGCTCTCAAATGTACATTTAGTAATCGATACCTCGCGCGATGAAGATTATTATTGATAAAAGAAGTAATGTTATGCTTTATTCTTTTTATATTTTAAGATTAAACCTGCTTTATATTAAAAATTCTCAATCATCATGTTTTCATCTAGTAACCTTTAAGTGGTTTTAAGGCGCCTTTCTAGCCTAACTAGCAGCCCCCCCCCTTCCCCAGTGGCACAGCCATACATCTGCGGACCTATACCTCTAGAAACCGGGTTTCGATACTCGTGGTGGACAGAGCACAGTTAGCCCTTTGTGTAGCTTTGTGCTGAACAACAAACAGCCTAAATAAATAGGAATGACGAACAGGTAAGGTTTTTTACAAGGCTGTTAATCCCGACATCCGGCGACGCTGTCTTCAAACAAATATGGATGTAGGCGGTAGGGGGTGGACGTTTCAAAAAGAAGTTTGTGATATATTGTTGAAAACCTTAGTTTTTATCTAGGACTATTCGAAATTCGTATACATGACAGTTGTGAAGTGAATCTCTCGAAAAATGCATGCGTATAATTTCTGATATACACTCCTACGTGGCGCTCAATTTGTGTCGCCTAGCGATTTAGTTAGTTCATACATGGAAAAAGATATTTGTTTCATTTGGTAAGCCATTCCATTCTCTCATAAACTAACAATTTTTCTCAAAAATGGAAGAGTAAAGATTAAAAAATATTTGAAATTATGTAGTTGGAAGTCGAATTAAAGTCAATTTTACCTCATTCGTATAAACCAATTGATTAAATTAAATATCGTAATGGATATTTTGAAGAAAAAGAAAGAGATGACATTTGCAACAAAATCACTCAAAATATGTTATGAAGAATGTAATATATTACCATGAGCACAGAGGATATGCATAAAACTTAGTGCTGTTATTTACATTGGATTAGAGAGGTGTAGACAAAAAGATATAGCAGACTATCGAGGACACTGGACGATGGACATTTGAAGGTGCCATAACAATTAGTAGACATTTAAGTATAGTCAACATTTATTACATTACACTTAGAATTCCTAGAACCTTATACAGAATAATTATATTGTTGTGGATAATAACTAAACAATACACTTAATGTTTTTATTGGATTTAACGAACTATAAGATAGATTGTGATAATAATTGAAATTTGAAAAATCAGAAAATACACACTGTTTAAATAACCATAGACCCTATATTAGGAACAATAGCTAAAGAGAAGAAACTCAATAACCCGAATGCTTTCTAAAAGTAGAATTTCTGGGAGAAATGACAGAAAGAGAACAGAGAAAAGAATGAAAGTCCACTTTACGAAAACGCTCGAGTTAGCGGGTTTCTTGTCGGATACTAACTTTTTCTGTTGATTCTGCTAATTTTGGAATATCATGAGCATTATGAGTTATAGTTAGTTCATATAATGAAAACTGACAAACATAGAAGAGTGGATTATACAGCACATTAAACTAGACAATTGATTTTGGTATTATGTATGTGGTAAGAATTAAATAATATATATTTTTATCATAAATTTTACCGTGAAATGTTAACATCAACTACTGGAGCACATTGTAATGAATATCCAGAAATTAGCGAATGATAACACATAATTTGTTATAAAAGATAATATTTAAGGTTATCGCGCTTTATAGTACGTGTCTAAACAAAGAAACTTCATTTCGAAATTATTAACGAACGTGTTGAACATTATTTTAATGTTCAGGAAAGCGTCTAAGCATTACTGCTCTAATAATACACGATTACTCAACTAGTGCACCTTTGTTTAGTACAATTAGTTATTCAAATTTAATACTGTTCTAATGATCCAAGTTTAATCAACTAGTGCACCTTTGTTTAATACAATTAGTTATTCAAATTTAATACTGCTCTAATAATACAAGTTTAATCAACTAGTGCACCTTTGTTTAATACAAATAGTTATTCAAATTTAATACTGCTCTAATAATACAAGTTTAATCAACTAGTGCACCTTCGTTTAGTATAATTAGTTATTCAAATTTAATACTGCTCTAATAATACAAGCTTAATCAACTAGTGCACCTTTGTTTAGTACAATTAGTTATTCAAATTTAATAATGCTCTAATAATACAAGTTTAATAAACTAGTGCACCTTCGTTTAGTATAATTAGTTATTCAAATTTAATACTGCTCTAATAATACAAATTTAATCAACTAATGCACCTTTGTTTAATACAAATAGTTATTCAAATTTAATACTGCTATAATAATACAAGTTTAATAAACTAGTGCACCTTTGTTTAGTACAATTAGATATTCAAATTTAATACAAAAGTAACCGAACCTTAATCCGATAAAACATTAATCCTTTACACGAACTCATCCGCAAACATAATCGTGGAAGTTTTAAAAAAATATATATATATATTTATTTCCACTAGGTGGTGTTGGTTCAGGGTCACTTTGTCAGTTTTCTGCCGTTATGTAGCCGTAATGAGCCAGTGTTCTTAGCAATTTGTACGCCAGTTGCAATGCCAGAAACAAGAGAGTGTGTGGTGCAGGGAAGCACCTCAGTCTTTACGTCTATTCACTCCATGAACATGAAATTTATGCATATCGATAAAAAGTAAGTCAAATTTCATATAAAAAATACAGCTAATTTACTTGACAAGGAAGAAACGCACTTATGGAATTCTAACTCATATTTCCTTCACAAAAATAGAGCTGAGTTTAATTGAAAGAAAACAAATAAATTCAATATTAGACAAGGTTTTCTTGTAATTGAACTGATTATTTTACTTAAACAAACAGATAGTAAATCAACTTTCAGTTATTGAAAATTAAAGTTTTTGCTCAAAGAAGGAGAGCATTTTGTCCAAATCAAGTTTTGTTTTTAAGTGAAAGTACTTATTTTTGTCGATAGGCACATAACTTAATCAACAGGCATAAGTAGCTTGTATACTTTTTGACATATGTTTTGCATCCGATTTCTTATTTGTCGCAAATAACTATAGGTAGATATTTGTTGGAAGACGATTTTACCACGTTAAGCAACAGAAACGTCGTCTGTATTTTTAACTTTTATGTCCATAAACGCGAGACTTTAAAGGTGGCAAGAATCTAACTTAGAACACAGTATTAAATTGAGATGTATTACGTTAACATCAAAGATGATCAAAAGTATAAAATGCATGGAAAGTGCATAAAATGTTCCGAAGGTTAGTTAAATAAAAAGTGGTAGTATACGTGTCTGATTTATGTAGCACACATGCGTAACGCAAAGGAATCACGTTAAGACTTAAAACAATGCTTTAGAACGTAAGATATAGGATTTTGTAAAGGACATATAGTGTTCTTTACAGTAGAATTACAATCAATGGGCCTGTTTAGGTTGCAAGGTGTATACAGAACATGTGAAGAGCGTTAAGTAAGATACATAAGTCTGTAAATATACCTTAAGTCTTATCATACGAAACATGTATATCTGATTTTTATTTCAGCGGAGAGTTCTACTTAGGTTACAACAAGTCAAGCCTCCAAGGTGTGTCCTGGTACGAACTCGTACATTGGGATCATTTAAGAGAAGCTCAGTCCAAACACAGGCTGAGTAAGTAGAGGATCAGATCTTTTGTTTATTATGGTTTGATATAATTATATCAATAAAATAACATATCTTAAAGGCAAAGTCGTACATTGCCAAATGACTAATACACAATGTGAAAACATTCAAACTTTTATCTAGTTTTGTTTCTTATATGCATATGAAATACCTAACAAAATTTTACGAAGGTGTTCAATGAAGATCATGAATCGTTGTCTGAAATAGTTTTATGAGAGATATTAAATCGTTTTATTCACGAAGGTTAAACTGATTTCCGTTTTTTCTTCAAAATATTTCAAAAGCATCAGTTGTTACATGTTTCTGAATAGAACCTGATCAAAGACATTTCTCTTGTTTTAGCCTTATTAAGTTTGTATATACAGAATTGGAAATAATTATGGACACTAAGATTGTTGAGTAAGATTGGTATGAAATGCAAATATGGGATTGCCTCCCCTCTACTGTAAGAAGGTGAACTATATCAGCGTATAGTCACGGGCTGATAGTTTACACTGTGATTAGCTCTCATCCAACCAATCAGACAGTCAATCTTACTATTCCCAGTAGGACAGAAATGCTAAAACCTGTAGGAGTTAAAATGTTGACTGGTGAAGGCGACAGATTGAGACATAGTTTCATATTTTAGATAGTAACTCTGGAAAGATTATTTGTAACTGATGTATGGTTAATAATAGAAGTGGTAAAGTAGAAAAGTCAAATGCTTCAAAAATGACGTTAAGAAACTACGTTATGCCGGAGACGTCGGAACCAGAGGTGCTGGTGTATTACCACCACTTTTACATATTTAACTTGATAGCAACTGTAAATTATATTATTATATTAATTTTCTGGGGCAAGCTCTCAGACCCCCTAGCTTTAGATTGAGCTGCCTTTAGCAGCTCCTTAAATGTTTAATTTTTTATTGTAAAATCTTCATGTCTAGCCAAGCATCCCCACGTTGCAACTCCTTCCTACGCGACTGTATGTTTTTTACTTTATCTTGCCAACAATCTAACTGTAAATATAGGAGTGATTGCTACCTCCAGAATAATAAGATACATATTGGAACAAAATGGTCTCAATGAATGAGCAGTTGTTCAAAAACCACTATTTAAGATAGATACCCAAACGAAAAAGCTGAAATGGGCATCAAACTTCAAACAATTGTACAAGCAGAGTTGGAGTACTCTTTACAGACGAATCCAAATCTAATTGCTTGGCAACAATTAATAGTAGCTTGTTTGATGAAAGAGATGTATGACGGTCAATGCACAACATGTACAGTGAAACATGCTGTGAGGACCAACACATGTACAGTGAAACATGCTGGGGGACCAATACAAGTACCTCAAACAACCTTGCACAAAATTGATGACACTGTGTCTGTTGACAGGTGCCTGCATATTTCTATCCATCGTGTCATTCCCTCAGGAACAAGACCTATAGGGAAGGTATTCATTATCCAGCAAGACAGTAATTTTGAGTATGTGGTGAAACGATCCGTGAAAGGATAAAGAAACCGTTGGAACACTTGCACCATGGCTTAGTCTAAACAGAGCCCAATATGACTATTATTAAGGCTCTATGGGCTTATATTGAAACTGAAAAGGTCAAACGGCAACCATATAACTTTGCTGAATTGTGGAGAGTAATACAGGGCTGTGTAACAATATTTCACAACCATCCGTTTACAAATTTATTGTACCATAAAGTGTACTGTGCTGTTGAAAGTTAATACAGAACATCAGTGTATTGTACAACTTGTTTGATTTTCTTTTGTATTTTCTGTACTTATGATAAATTGACCATATAACTGTAGTTACTCAGTGTGAGTTGCTTTTATATGGGCAGTTGCCCGGTAGGACAGCAGTGTGTCTTCGGATTTACAACACTAAAATCAGGGGTTCGATAGACACAGCAGATAGCCCAATGTGGTTTTGCTATACCAAAACGCATACACACTTATATGTATATCACTTATGTATTTCCATAACGATTTCAATAATGCGTGATTCAATTCACAAAATGTAGTGAAAATTCTGTTAAAAAAACTGACAATATAAGCTTTACAGTTTTCTGTTACGTATCTACTTACTATTACAAATAAGATCCATACTAACGGAAGATCCTGACCGAAGTGAAGAACAGGGTTGAAACTGTTGAATTTTAAGCATCGTCAAATTACCAATAAATCTAATATCCTAAAACCTCAATGCTCTCTTATAGAAACAAGACCACGTTATAGCTACATTGACCTTATATATATATATATATATATTATGTTTGGTTATTAACCAAATGGTTCAAACTTTATTATTAATAGAAGATATTTAAAATCATCGCTTAACGTTGAAACTTCAAACAATAACCTGTATTAGAGTTCTTAACATTTTGACCGCTAACTAAAAGAGCTATCTGATAATGATATGTTTACCATCGGTAGTTCTTGTAGGTTTGGGGGAATAGTGTTCGTTTAAGGTAATGTACATGTATGTAGTAAATCTCAAACATCTGTAAGTTAGAATCATTATAAAATAATTAAAATTTATTGACTGTTTGATTTTAAACTTTGTTCTTGAACGACAAACTCTGAGGTGCTGTTTTAATTTGTAAAGCAACAAAGTCCTAAAGCTTTAGTAAATCAGAAATATCGTTGTTTACTTTGCACGGCTAGCGATAACTTAACTGGCGGCTTAAACATAAATTGGGGCTACGCCCCTACCCACATTGGCAACCTTGGCAGCCACTTGTAACACCTATCCTTAACGCTGGCCTGTTAATTCGTTGTTCAATTCCTTACTTTTGTATTTCTATATTTAATACTTCTAAAGAATTACTACGAAGCAATCTCGAATCTTCTCATTTAGTCTTTTCCTTTTCTTCCCAGTCACGCAATCCGAGCAGGAACGTTCTTGTATAATGTTACTCCGGCTTCAGACCACCACTGGGAGCTGGTTATGGGTGCACGCTGTGCTACAGGTTAAAGACAGTTCAGATAGCTCCCAACAGCCGGTCATCGTCTGTACCAATCAAGTCCTCAGGTGAGGTCTGGGCCACTCCGCATCACGTTGCCCTTTTGCAGTTCATGTGCTTAAATATTTTTTGTTACATTTCATCAGTTTTATCTTTACGGTAGGACAATGACTGAAAAGCTGGCTACACAAAAACACTGTGATGTAGGTTTAAATCTGTATCAGGTTATAATATTGTTACTGACTTATTCTTATTCTAAATCGTATAAAAAGTAAATGGATAAAAACGAGCACCTTAATCTCGCAATAGTATGTTATATGTAGTAAAAAAACGTAACGTTAGTGATTAGATCTTGGAAATAACAAACACAAACTCTTGTTTCATATTTTAGCGAGAGAGAAGCTGCTGTAATGCAGGTAAACAGCTGGCTCTATCAATTCTACTCCTTACAGTCCAAAATGCATTATGGGATTGGCTATGAGACTCATTCCACACGTCTTCCAAGTTACTATCCTACCGTGATGTCGTACCACCACTCTCCGCCAACAGAGGGCACACTTCCGCCAACACCTTATCACATTCACCACCACCCTGGAACTCCCTTGAACGGGTCCTCTCAACATCCCGGTGTTCTCCAGTTTGGTTCATCTTCCCACCAAAGCGGACTGCCCGTGCCTTATTCCAGTATTCCAGTTGGAACAGATGGATCCCTGAAAAGGGCACTCTCTCCTTGTATCGAAGAAACTGAAATAAAACCAAAAATACAAAATTTTAACAGGTCCTCTTTTCCTTATTCATCTTCTACTTTTAGCAATGGATTTGGATTACCAGTCCATGTTTCAGAAATTAGTGCGATGTCACCCCCATCTGACTACTATGGAAGCTCCCAAGTGCTTTTAACTGTCCCTTATCACCACCTAGGAGGAATTCATACTCAGAAGCTCGTGACAGCGGATGAGACAGTGACAGATGTAGAACAGTCCTTAACTCCTACTAACACAGATGATGTGTCAAACATGATTTCTTCCATTCATTACCCTCGTGACGTCACTTCCTATGTGCCATCAGGATCGACGATCTCTGCCATCCTTTCCGAAAGTACTAGAATCCTCGCCGACAGTGCCGAAGACGTTTCTCGATCCCTAAAAGACCTTCGACCTCTTTCAGACTTCCGTCCTCATCAAATAATTAACAGTGACAGTGCTACGAAAACATCGTCCAGATTGGGCAGTGCTTTTTTTCCGCGTTTGAGATATAGCGTGGAGACTTGTCATACTGGTATGATTGATGCTATTGCAAAAGACACAAATTGCCGGAAAGCCTTTGGAGACAGGGCGTTTACTAAGCATCCTCGAGTAGACATTGGAAGATTCTATGATCATGAACATTCCCTAAACTACCAGAACAGTTTCCAACTTGCGTATGCAGCAGGTTGTGGGGAATACCGTTCGTCCTTCCAGATGCCAAATCGGTCCAACTTTGCAGATCGGCAAGGCCTCAAGAATATGATGGATCTGAATCGAAACGGTTCACTGGTTCCTATTGGCTCTCCTCTTGAAAATTACCATAACGGCAGCTCAGGTGGTCTTGCTCACTATCACTTGTCAGACAGTGGTCTTTCCTCATCTCCTCAGCAGTTAAGTAGCTCTAGTCTAGTCCACAGAAAATACAACCACCACTCTCCAGGAAATCTCTCGTCCAGTTTCGTCGAGAATTGGAAGGAGCAGCCTCAAGGTCCTTCTTGTAAGTAGTCGATAGTCTACAATGCCTTTTTTATATCATTTTTTCAAGCTTTCGTGGTTGTTTAGATGTCAGTCTGTATTACAAATAGATATAATATAGTTTATATTAAAATACTTTTTCATATTCTACACCAATTGCTGTTGTGCATAACGAATCAACAACAAAGATAAATAAAAATGTAATAGATGATTCAAAAGGTAATCGTTTCTTCATCTCTTTTTTCGGTCGTTTTAGGAAATTTATAATCGCTCTGTAATGATCTTTAATCCTGTTTAACTTTAAAATGACAAAAATATAAAATCACTGGCATCTTAACTTCATTTAGATTGGCAATAAAACTATATTAAATATGATGAGATTCCTTTTTTTTACGATTATAGTTTTACCCGTTCTAATACCAAATTATTCACTGAACTAATGAAAAATGAAACGGAACTAATCAAACATGAAATCCTTTGTATCCCTTTACTAAAGACAATAGCGCGTATCAAGAAAAACAACTACCTGAACATCATATGATGACAAAAGCCTCACATTTAGTATGTATATGTAAGATAATTGTGTCAAATATAACATCATACACCTCACAATACATTATATAACCACTTCCAGCATTGACTAAAGCTTCTCTGGGGCCATGTGGCTATTGAAGCGAAACTATCATTTGTCATTATTTCTGACAATTAGTGCTTGTACTTAGAACAAATAAATACATTGACGAACGAGAAATTTAAATAGAATTTGAGACAGTGAACAACTTTTGAGTTGTTTGTTAAACAAAGCATGATTTTCAGGGTCTAGGATAAACTAAGTTAAGCCATAATTTAAGGTCAATGGCACAATAATCTTAAAGACATGAATAAGCTCTATAGGCACAAGAGTTCAAATACAAAACTTATCATGCTAAAAGGGAACTAAAAGTTTAAAGACTATACACGCTAAAATCAGTGGGAAAAAACATAAGCATGTACACAGTATAGCGCTGAAGATCACGTGCACCACGTTTATTAACAGAGCCTAGTCGTTTGCATAATTAAAAACATATTTCTTGTGTAAAAACTAACTAGGCGTAGCGAGACCACTGGTTACGAGTGCAAGTGTTCATTAGAGTGAATCAACTTTAATTAGGCCTCGTAAACAGTATTTTGATTGTGATTCTTCGGTTTCTTTATTAACAAAAACATTCTAACTAATAAGTCTTTCTTTTATGTGCAAGTGTCAATGGCGTTAATAATAGGTCTGTTGATTTTTTTTTCAGAATATATCCTCTTCTCTTGACTGTGCTACTGTGATTATTAATGAGCAGGACTGTATATAATGTATGACATATTGTCAGCAACAGTGTCAATAGCATTCCACCAAGCATCATGCCTAAGTAACTTTTTCATGTTTCATACTACTCCTGAACAATGTGATAAAACGCTATTTAGATCAAATTATGTTGATGTAATGCTCTCATCAGTGTTCAATAATTTATTTATGTGTTAACATTCTTATTTGATCAAAAATTTGTGTTATTGATCATGATTATCCTGGAACTAAGAAACTTTATTGACAATTTTTAATTGTGATTAATCAACAAATCTCCGGAGAAAGCAGCGTTTAAGTTAATGAATCCATTCATATTTAATGATACGCCCCAGAAAAAAAAATCTGTAATATTCCTCTCCAATAATTTGATACAGACTTCAATTAGAAGTTTCCATTAACGTTTTCTTTCTACTATATGGCATTTAACCACGAATCGCTATATACATATTGGAACTGTGATTTTTACTTTCTCTCGTTATATTCATACTCACAAAAATAAAATTATATATATATTTCTTTGCAATATTTAACTCTGCGATATAAATTATACAATTATATTTTGAAAGCTATAAATTTTCTTTACTTGGAATGTTAAATACAGAACTTTTATTTTTTAAATTTATTCCAAGAACAGTGCCCATTAAGTGAATTTTGTGTGCTTCTCATGTTTAAATATCTGGAAGCATTTTATGTTCATTGTTAAAAAAGACCTTGACAAGAAATGAAGCATCCGCTGTTTCCGTAATAACCCACCGTATGATCATAGGTATGAAAAGTTGCTGTTGCTTATCACATGCGTTTACGTATAACTGTTTGGGGATTTTGTAAATAGAAAATGTTTATTATTGTATGAATAGTACCAGTAGTTCCTTGTTCTTTTCGTTACCTCACTTTAAACTATTCTTCGTGCATTATATATATAATTGTATTAAACTTTCATATGGATAAAAACTGATAAATTACGAATTTCTAGGTTTTCTTCCTCAGAAATGCTAGGAATGATTTAATTTACATATGTTATGCTTTATGTTTGACTACGGCTGAGTATTTAGCTTCAAATGGAAAGTTGAAGGGTCGAAAGTTATTTTAGATTGAAACGCGATAAAGTATTTTTTTATAAAATTGCTTTACTATTTCTTGGCTTTATTTTTGTTTTAGAATTTAATTCAAATGTCATAGAAAATTGTTCAGGGTTGTGTGGAAACATGTCATCCTAGAAGAATATATTAATACTGCTTCACGTAGTTTATAAAACTGTGCCGATAAGCCACGTATACAATCACGTGCCAGAGTTGTTAGACAACCGAAAATTTACATAGACAGGGACATTATCACAAAGCATATCTACTGCTGATGAATGGGCTTTATAATATACCACCAGCTAATTGCCAGATTTACGAATAATGATTGTTTACTTTATCTGTACAACCTATAAACGATATATTAAAATATCTACCATCCTATATTTCAATCTGTAAGTTAAATCACACAAGTCAACACTTTGATAATCGAAATAAAATGTATATAATGATAAGAAAAGTTCATGATGAATTTACATGCAACAGTCTACACGTTTTGTGCCTTTACATGAGGTTATAAAGGCCATATTACAGATGCTAGAAGACAGGATATGTGAAGAAAGATGAACAGTATTATTACATAGTACATCGAAATAGTGTGAATAATGTAAGGCCGGAATCAAAATTCCGGAACATTTTTAAATCCAGTCTTTTCATGTATTGTATGTAATAACATTATTTAAAGTACTTAGTACAAAGTATTTGTTTCATATCAGAAAGTAATGGATGCTATTTTTCGTGTAAAATATATGTTTAAACGTTCATAGGACCAAGTCTGTATATTGGTATTTTAACGTGAACTATTTTCTATGTTAAGTAAGTTAAGCAAATCGAAATTTTATAATGTCTGGTTTGGGAATTTTCAAGTGTATTAAAAACATTTCTATTTTAATACTATGGAAATGTATCTCACGCAAAATAAATGATTTGAAAATCACAACTGTCTTGCTGTTTCAATATCATAACTTATGTTCCTGTTTTCCAAAATAAAATACTTCTTATATTAACTTTACTCAAACAAATCACCAAGTATAATATAAAATCAACTTGCCCTCTAGTGGCACAGCGGTATGTCTGCGGACTTACAACGCTAGAAACCGGGTTTCAATACCCGTGGTCGACAGAGCACAGATAGCTCATTGTGTAGCTTTGTGCTTAATTCCAAACAAAAAAAAATCAACAGAAACATTGAACATAACAAAAGAAATTAGATTCAATGCATATATCGAACGTCGTAGTGTATGACTGGACTTGTAGTATCAAGAATTGCACAATAAAAGCCTAAAGTTAGACGAGCTGCAAACTCAATGAAAGAGTTCACTGTATTCAACAAGGTTAATACGAACCCTGCTTGATACGTTAAAATAATACTTTTTATAACGAATGCTTTAAAAATAAAATAGAGTGCTTAAGATTGTAAGTGAAAAATAGCCAGTTTTAAAGCTCTTTTCTACACTGTTACTACTTGTATTAAACTAATGGATGTTTTATCTTAGTCAAAATATATTTGACCAATCTTTGATCGTAATAATTATCAAACAGCAACTTATTCGCTAGGAGGCTTTTTTTTCTGTTAAACTTGAGAAACAAAGTTCAAGATATTATTGTAGAATATTCTTAACTTGTGTAGATGTGATCTGAGAAATGATTGCCGTACTATCTATTTTTACAAATAAAAAATATTAAACAAGTCTCTAAGACACTGATACAGACAATTTATTCATCAATTTGATATTCCAACCACAACTGCTCAGCCTAAAAAGGCCAAACTTTACTGTTGATAAGTTACAGTGCCTTGCAAAAGTATTCACCCCAACCAATAATGTTACATTTTGATGAAATACAAATAGTGTAAACAATGTTTTAATTAACTTGTTTTTATTTAAAGCTGTAATGATCAATCCTAACACTGTTATGTGTGAAGGAGGTTGAATGTCAGCAAAACGTGCAAAAAAATATATAAATTGAAATTTGCTGATTGCATAAGTATTCAGCCCTCTAAGTCAGTACTTGATGGAAGCGCCTTTGGTAGCAACTACTGCTGTGAGTTATTTTTGGATATATCTCTCCTATGTTTACGCAACGGGATGGTGTAATTTTTTCCCATTCTTCCTTGCAAAATTACTCCAATTCGAACATGGATTGCAATCTTCAAGTTTTAATATAAATTTTCTATTGAATTCAAGTCAGGACTTTGACTGGGCCTCTCTAGGACATTCCCTTCCTTCTTTTGAAACCACTCCAGTGTGGCTTTCGCCTTGTGCTTCGGGTCACTGTCCTACTGAAATGTGAATTTTTGACTCAGTTTTAGATTCGTGGCTGACTTAAGCAGGTTTTCCTCTAGGATTCGTCTGTACTTTGTACCATTCATTTCCCCCTCAACTCTGACAAGCTTGTCAGTCCCTGTTGCCACCATTATGCTTGACAGTTGGGATAGTGTTGACTTGGGATATGTGCTGTGTTGTACTTGCACCAGATGTAACGCTTTGAATTTAGACCAAAAGGCTCAATTTTTGTCTCGTCTGACCACAAAACATTCTGCCACAAGTCATAGTATCATTTACATTCCGTGTCGCAAACTCCATACGAGATTTAAGATTATTCTTTTTCAGTAATGGCTTCATTCTTGCCACTCGCCCATACAGACCAGCTTTGTGTAGGGACCGGAATATTGTTGATATATAAACGTTGACTCCCATCTCAGACATGAAACACTGCAAATCTTCCAAAGTCACTGTTGGCTTCAGAGTGGCATTCCTAACCAGTTTCCTGCTTCCCTGGCTGCTTAGTTTGGAAAGGCGACCTGATCTGTGTAGTGACTGGGTGTTATGAAGCACGTTGCACTTCTTAATGATGGACTACACTGTACTCATAAGGATAACCAGCGACTTTGAAATTTTCTTCTAACCTTCTCCTGATCTATGCTCCTCTACCACTTTATCCTGGACTTGTTTAGAAAGTTCCTTCGTCTTTGTGGTTGGTTTGTCGTATTACCATGTGAGTTGTGGCTTGAACAGATGCATTTACTCTAAAGTCAAATTTTAAACCACTTTGATTACACACAGACAAAGACCATTACAATAATTTTGTGATCTTTCAAACTAATCTAATGCACCTGAACTGATTTATTGTTGGCGTAGCGAAGAGGTTGGATACTTATGCAACTGAAAATGTTCTAATTTTCTTTGAAAATCTAACTTACATACATAATATCAGCGTTTTTTTTTTTAGCTTTCTCAGTTTAGAGTATATTGTGTATATTCTAAGTATAATGTCCCATTTGAAAATTTCATGATTGAAAGCTCAAACGGCAACAAAATGTGGAAAATTTGCAGGAGGGGGTGAATACTTTTGCAAGGCGCTGTATATCTAATCATTCTGAAGATGTTTTTAAAGCGACTTGACAGTCTATAGTTTGCACCAACAGCGAAAACCCGTATATGCCTTAGTTATGGTTAGTTATTTTTCGTGAATTTTATACTACACTCTTACGATGTCTGTGATCGCCATTACTCTCTTGGTTTTGGTTGGTGGACCTGACAGAAGAGCAAAGATGAATATTAGTAAATGGTCTTGCACACAAAAGTACTACTAGTATTCTATTTACTGTCATATTTCACCGTAGGGAAAGACGACATTCATAACATATTAAGCAGAATCTCTGAATCTGATTCAGATAAAAGATGGTATAATATTAATCATAGCGTTTGGAAGCAAAAGTTTATTCAAATGATGATCTGATTTCAATTAACCAAGAAACTAGATCTACAAAATTTAATGTATCTTTAAAATTATGACTATAAAGGTCATTTATGATTTTTTTAACATTTGTAACTAATTTATTTTTGGGGGGGGCTATGTGTTTTCAACTTTTAATTATTATTAATGTCCCCCAGCGGTTCAGGGGTAAAGTTACGGACTTACAATGCTAAAATCCGAGGTTCGATTCATTGTGGTGAACAGAACATAGATAGCTTATTGTGCGGCTTTGCGCTAAAACAAACAAACCAAACTAAAATTATTATTAATTAAACTACCAACACTAATATTATAAAGGTATGGGTCAAAATTTTAATCCACAAATTTCAACATTTTGTATAATATACAAATCATCCCATAATAAGTATCATTTGAATTGTGAACGTAATTTCTTTCCTTCATCTACATCTTAGGTTTTAAATTCTATTGAGGTGTAAGAGGCAAATTGAAAGTGGAGAGGCCCAAGGTTTATTTGACAGAGGGAACATGCGCCACAGGCGTACACATTACGTTCGGGATCCAGGGCTTGCCTTAGAGCCTTGGAAACACTTGGATTCTGAATTCCTGAAAGTAGTTTTCCTAATTTTGATGCATTTTCACTGGGGGACAGATTGAAAAGTGGTGGGGGAGGGGGCAGGTTTCCCTGCTTCCTACGCCACTGTTCTGTTAGAAATATTGATCAATTTA